TGCTGTCAACCCAAATTCAAACCTTGCCAGACCATTGGTATGGAAATCCATTACAGTTTCCGAATTTAAAGTTTTTTTGAGCCTAACTCTCAACATGGGCTTTACTAAAAAAAATTAATTGCTGTTGTATTGGTCCACAGACCCGATTCATCATATGCCCATGTTCTCTGCTGCAATGGCCAGGCATAGATATGAGACAATATTGTGTTTTATGCACTTCAACGACAACACACTCAATTATCCTCAGGGTGACCCTGAATTTGACCGGCTCCACAAAACCCGACCCCTCGTAAATCACTTTAACCAAAAATTTGTAGATGTGTATACTCCCCATCAAAACATCTGCATTGATGAGTCCCTCATTAATTTTTCTGGCCGCCTTGCATTCAAACAATGTATCCCCAGCAAGCATGCCAGATATGGGGTCAAGATGTATAAGACCTGTAAGAGGACAACAGGCTATACATATAGGTTTCAGATTTACGAGGGAAAAGATAGTCAAGTGGAGCCCCCTGGATGCCCAGACTACATGGGGAGCAGTCTCAAGATAGTTTGGGACTTGGCGTCATGCTTTTTCTATATGAGGTACCACTTATATGTGGACAATTTTTATTCAAGCGTGTCACGATTTAGACATTTGTACAATCTTGGAATTGGCACATGTGGCACTGAGAGACCTAATCGCCGGGCTTCCAACGGCTTGTAAATACCCATCTTAGAAAGGGGGAAAAAGCCTGCTTGAGAAATGAGGAATTGCTCGCAGTGAAATGGAAAGACAAACGGGATGTTTTCTTCCTGTCTTCCATTTACGCAGATATGACCATCCAAATTACCACGCAGCTGGTGTTGTTGAGAAGCCCCTCTGTGTCCATGATTATAACCTTAACCTGGGAGGGGTGGACTTCAATGAGCAGATGATGAAGCAGTACTTAGTTTCCCGAAAAGCCAGACGCTGGTACAAAAAAGTGTCTGTTTATTTATTTCAATTGGCTTTATTTAACGCTTTTGTTCTTTACAAAGCAACTGGACATAGTGGATCCTTTCTAAAATTCCAGGAAGAGATCATCATGGCCCTTTTGTATCCGGAAGGTGCTGTGGTCCCAAACTCCAACCCAGATGCAGTTAGCCGGCTGCATGAGAGGTATTTTCCCGATGCAATTCCTGGTACCCCAACCCAAAAGAACCCCCAAAAAAGATTTTGTGTCTGTAGCAGACATGAAATTAGGTGTGACAGACGCTTTTTTTTGTCCCTCCTGTCCTGACCAACCTGGCCTCTGCGGCAAGGACTGCTTCCGTCGCTACCATACACTAGTGGAATATTAATATAGGGTACAGCACGGCACAGTTCAGGGCATATTTATACAGGGTCTCGAAAGATGTTAGGTAGTCAGGAAACTGGCTATCACATTTGGAGAGACCCTACCATCTGTTTTTAAAACGTTAAAGTTTAAAAAAAAAAAAAAAAAAGAAGTGATAAAAAAATAAAAAGTACAAATCCCCCCAAAAATTTAAAATTTTAAAAGCAAAAATAGTTATAGTTTTTTGTTGTTGTTGTTATTTTTGTTATTGTTCTACTTTTACTGTTTTATTGTTACTGTTTTATTATTAACCAATGCTGTTTTCTTTGCAGGAATGCTTTCAGCTGCAGCACTGACCTGTTTATTCTGACAGCAACAGGAACTTGCTGTCAGAATATACATGTGTAGGATTACTCACCCTGTCTCTTCTGTGAGCTTGGTGGGTTGGAGGCTGCCTTCAGGCCTTATTCTGGGCTGACTCCTTCCCTTCTCCACAGGTTGTCCCCTCCCTGGGTATGATGAGGTAGAAAGATCCTCCTTTCAGCTCCTGCCTGTAGATAGGACTTTCTCCTGGGCCCCCTCCCAGGCTCCACACTCCAGTCTTCACTCCATATTCCACCCAACACACTACTCCTTGCTGATTAGGCTCTCTCATACTTAAGGGCCACCCTGATCCCATGCCAAGCCTTCTGCTTGGGGATTTGAGTTTGGGCAAGGACACAGGGGCCCCATGATCCCCTATTGCCCGGGGGCCCCATGAGTTGTCAGTTTGCCCCTGTCAGGGAACTGACCTGCAGAGCCCTCAGCCCTGACCTAGAGTAACCTGTTTGACTCATCCCAGGCTGTTACTCAACCTGTGCCTTAAAAAACTAACTAGCTCTCCCTAGCTAAACTTGAGGGCGCTATATAATATTGCCTCTTCTTCTGACACTCTTCCCATCAAGGATGTAGTACTCAAAACAATGCAAGGTTAAATTTCTCACCTACTTTAGTACCCTTAAGATGGTAACTAGAGACCCTGGACTTCCCAAATCTGCTGACGTGAAGCTATTCCTTAACCACTTGCCCTCCTGAGGATTTACCCCCTTTCCTGACCAGGCCTTTTTTTGCTGTTCAGCGCTGCACTATTTCAACTGATAATTGTGCGGTCATGCAATGCTGTACCCAAACGAAATGTAAGTTCTTTTTTCACATAAATAGAGCTTTCTTTCATTGGTATTTAATCACCTGTGTGCGCTTTTTATTTTTTGCTCTATAAACACAAAAAAAGAACGAAAAGTTTGAAAAAAAAAACAATATTTTCTACTTTCGGCTGTAAAAAATATATAGTAAACTCAAAGATTTAAGCCAAAAAAGTATTCTGCTACATGTTTTTGGTAAAAAAAATCCCAATAAGTGTATATTGATTGCTCTGTGTGAAAGTTATAGCGTCTACAAACTATAGTATAGATACTGCAATTTACGCCATTATATGCTATACAGCGCTGCAGTAGTTTAACTGACAATTGCGCGGTCATGCAATAGGGTACATAAATGATATTTATGTCCATTTTTTCACACAAACAGAGCTTTCTTTTGGTGGTATTTGATCACCTGCGCCTTTTATTTTTCACGCTATAAACAAAAAAAGACAGATTTTTTAAAAAAAAACTATATTTTTTATTTTTGGCAAAAAAAAAATATATAGTAAACTCAAAGTTAGTCATAAATTTATCTAGATGAGGGGAGAGGACAGTCAAGTGGAAAACGCAACTAGCTTCTCATCTACGGCTGTTTTGCTAAGCAGCAGTTTCTGGGTCTCCTTGCCCAGAGATACCCTCAGGCAGCTGGATGAAGAGGAGGAGTCATCTGGGGTCTGAGGCGGTACACCAAAGAGCTTTTTTTGTCCACATCTGTACGTAGTTGCTAAGGGGTTTGTCCTCAAGTTCACAGTTCCCTTGGGCATCCTATATACCCCTCAACCCCATCCACGTTATCAACCCCTTAATAAAATTTAAAAAAAAAAACAAGCTCAAGGACTGTTTACTGACTCTGAATGCAATATGTGGAAGAAAATGCATGTTGCCTGGCTGTGCAGAGCTGTAGGGGGACAAAAAGCTCAGTGACTCCTAAGGGTGTAGTGCTACATTATGTGGGCTAAGTGGACTATTTAAATCTGAACCCTGCCTACGCTCTTTTATAAATGGTCAATTGGTCTGTCAGTGACCTGTAATCTCTGATCTTAAACCTTTTGCCTGACTTAGCTTCTGTCTGACATGTTCCTGGATTTCTCTTGTCTAATAATGGTTGCTGATTATCTCAATTACTTTAGCTTGGACTTCTGTCCAGTGACTACCTCACTGTCTGTATGTTACCAACCTCTGCTTGTTCCCAGCCTTGATTCTACTATGATTTAGTGCTTCCTTTGTCATTTGTTGTAGAGGAATACTGCAAGGTATGGGTTAGCTGTAAAAAAAAACACTGTATTAACAGCTACCCCTGGCCATTTATTTCCCCCGGTTTCCCACATGTGCAGATGATGCATCCCAAAATTCTAAGGAAATTAGACATGCAATGAAATCCTCGCTTTATCATTGCAAGGTCTTAAAAGTGTTTAGAAGGGAATTTTTAAAATGAGAGGTACAGACTTAATTGGCATATTTGACTTGCCTAAAAGACTAATTAAATGAACTCTAGTTGATGTCCATAATATTTGAAACTATACTACACAGCAAGCAGTGCATTTATTTTATTATATAAACAAGGATAAACTACAAGAGGAGCAGTGTGTTTTATATATTGATATAAGTTCCATGACTGCAGGAGTGGATAACCTTAACATCTGTCTTACTTGATCTTCCATTAGTCTCTGGAAAAAAAAACCTTGCAAGGAACAATCTTGGGTTCTATACAAATAAATTTTTAATCAGCAGATGTCTGCTTGCTGGAACTGTCAGAGCCCCTCTCTTCATTCTCTCTTCAGTAAAAAGCCCACAGGCAAAAATAGTTTCAAACAATAAATACATATAAATGCGTAGGACTGGTTACACAGTGCTGGCCTATTGTCAAAATGTTGGTTTGTGTTATTTATGGTTCTATAAATGCATAATTCATTTATGTGACTTGTAATAAATCTTCTCTTATCCTTGTTTTTATATTCTTGTGTTGCATGTTATATTCATATTTTACAAAAAATAAAATATTACCTTTGAGCTGCTTGTAATCACTAACCTACAGGGCACTTATACCCCCTTCCTGCCCAGGCCAATTTCCAGCTTTCAGCGCTGTCACACTTTGAATGACAATTGCGCGGTCATGCAACATTGTACCCATATGAAATTTTTATCATTTTTTTTAGACAGATAGAGCTTTCTTTTGGTGGTATTTAATCACCTCTGGTATTTTTATTTTTTCTTAAAACAAACCAAAAACCACTGAAAATTTTAAAAAAAAAGGTTTTTCTTAGTTTTTGTTATACAGTTTTGTAAATAAGTTATTTTTCTCCTTCACTGATGTGCGCTAATGAGGCTGCAGTGATGGGCACTGATAGGATGCATGATGGCACTGATAGGATGCACTGATGGGCACTGATGAGGAGGCACTGGTAGGTTGCACTGATGGGCATTGACGGGCATCACTGATGGGCACTGAAAGGCAGCACTGATACATGACACTGATACATGACACTGATATATGGCACTGATAGGCGGCACTGATAGGCAGCACTGACTGGCACTGATAGGCGACACTGACTGGCACTGATAGGTGGCACTGATTGGCATTGATAAGCGGCACTGACTGGCACTGATGGGTGACATTGAAAGGCAGCTCAGATGGGCACTGATATGTGGCATTGATGTGCACTGGTATGCACTGATATGTGGCATTGATGTGGCACTGATGGGCACTGGCACATGGCACCGATGGGCACTGGCACTGATGAGCACTGACAGGTGGCACTTCTGGGACCACACTGATCATCAGGGCACACTGATCATCAGTGCCCTGATGATCAGTGTACATGTCCCCTCCGCAGAAAGCCGATTACCGGCTCTCCTCTCAAGCTGTCAGCGTGACAGCTCTAGAGGAGAGAAATGCCGATAACCGGCATTTTCGTGTTTACATGTAATCAGCTGTGATTGGACACAGCTGATCACATGACCGAGCCGACATCTTCGGCTCTTTCTGTGATCCGCTGTGTCAGAGGGACACAGCGAACCGGAGATCGCCTCGCTGCACACTCCCTGAGCCACGCATGCGCAGTGAGAATGGTAGGACGTCATATGATGTCCTATCAGAACGAGAGAACCACCTTGCACCCGTCATTGTACTATAGGGCGGGCGGAAGGTGGTTAAGAAAGGTAAACTAATAGATTTTGTTTGCTGTTTCTGGCTCTAAAAAGCTGAGCCAGTTGTTTTAACCACTTATCGACCATGCTATAGCCGAAAGACAGCTACAGCATGGTCACCTAGTTATGGGAGGGTGTGTATAGATGTCCTCCCAGAACCTCACCCCCTATGCACCCAAGGGGCGTGCATCGGATGCACTCTGATTGGTGTGTCCTTTAGACACAGCTGATCACAGATTGAGGTAAAGAGCCAATCACAGCAGCCCTTTACCATGTGATCATTTGTTTCCAATCACAGCTGATGACATGTAAACAGACTTGCCAGCTATCAGTAGTCCCTTTCACACACGCTGTGTCTGTGTGAGGAAAGGAAAGCCAATTACCAGCAAAACTGCCAGTACACAGTTTACACCGATAATCAGTGCCAAGATCATCAGTGTAGCCCCATTAGTGTCGATCAGTGCCCTTCAGTGCAGTATAGTGTAACATATTAGTGCCGCCCATCAGTGACGCCTTATCAGTGCCCATCAGTGCTGCCTCATCAGTACAGCCCCATCAGAGCACATTAGCGAACTAAGAAAACCATTTTGTTCAAAATGTTTGGAGTTTTTTTGTTTGTTTAGCAAAAAAATTTTTAAAAACCCAGAGGTGATTAAATACCACCAAAAGAAAGCTCTATCAGTCTCAAAAAATGAAATTTGGCCTCGACAGGAATGGTGTTAAAGTGCCCAGTATTGAAGTGTTTAAACCCCCTCAATAAAACTTGAGAACACTTTTTTCTGTACTGTCCTGCTAAAATGGATGTAAACCATCAATATCAGTCCCAAAATATGATGAATATGTGTCACATTCTTCATCTGAAATGTGTGCAGTGAGGTGGAGAGGTTTTAGGCAGTAGGAATACAGGAGGAAAGCACAGAACATACTAGGAGCAGATTGGGTAGGTCATGTAGAGGGTGTTATGTTTAGGAACTTAGTAAAAAAATGTATACAATATTTCATGACTAAGTAGTCCACATGCATATGATAGGAAAAAAAATTAAAAGAGTGTCAACAGGGAAAAGGACTGTATTGGGTTATAACATTCCTGGATAAGAGGAATTACTGTATGAATGATTCAGGAATTTGGGAATTTAATGAAAAAAAAAAAAAAAACAAAAATAACAATTAAGCTTATTTCTGAGATTAGAAGAAAATGTGAGGTTGTAAAAGAAAAACAATAACTGTATCACAGATTTGCATATTTAAATAGTTAGCAACCAAATACGTTAGAGTCAATTAGACAAAAAATACTTAAAGTGTTACTAAACCCACAACAGTAAAATAAGTCTGTATATGCAGTAAAGCATGCTTGTTATACTCACTGTGGAAACTAAGGGGTTAATCCTCTGCATTGTGTAAAAAGGCTGTTTGATCATTACTTCTCTGATACTCCCCTTTTTTCAGTGTCCCCCTCTTATCTCCTGATAAGACACATGGTGTGGAGTCACTCTGTACATGCTCAGTTTGGTGTGTATTGATAGAGAGGTTTTTCTTGGGAGAGAGCATGTGATCAACACAGGACCAATCAGCACTGTCCAGAGAGAGGTAAGGGGTTCTGCATCCTCCTAGAACAGAATGAAAACTCCTCCTTCAAGCTTTAACCAGTGCTCTGCTGGACACTGATACAAGTCACCAGACTGCTCTAAGTGCTGATGAGAAAATGTATAAGTTTATATTTACTAAAATAATTGTACATCCATGTTGTGTACTGTGGGAGACCAGATATAGTGGATGCTGTGTCCTGGGTTTAGTAACACTTTAAAGAATATTACCCAAACATTTCATATTCCTGATATGTGTCTGTTATACCATGTACTTGTGTTAAAAAGTATCCAATTCTCTTTGCATTGCTTTCTTTGTGTGAAATTCCTGGCAATCCTGCCAGTCCCCTTGCTTTACTAATTAAAATCGACCACACTAGGTATAGGAGCTCATTCTTCTCATCTAGAGGGGAAGTGGCTTAGCAATAGAGCGTGACAGCTGCTTGCTTGGCACCCAAACCTGTGAGGATGCATATAGTCAGTGTGCCAGGATAGCAGGCAGTGCTACCCTGTACCAGCCTGTGATAGCCCAAGATTGCTTGCAGCCCCAGCAATAGAATAGTTGGACAGCTGTGTGGTATCACTCCCTTTTCCTCTCCTCCCGGGTTTGTCCATGACCAAAGACAGAAATTACACTGGGCGTGATCGAGGAGTAATGCTCAAGTTTCCCAGTCTACATCGCTACATGTCCTCCGCAGCTTCGAGGAATGCCAGCTTACTCTCCGGCCTTGGCGCCAGCTCTGTTACTGGGTCTGTCAGCAGCTCAGAAGCAGTCCTGGAAGCTCAGCTGGACATGCCCATATTAAACATCCCTGTTGTCCCTGTCACTGAATCTCTTACCCATCCTCCTACTGCTATGAAAGGCTCTGCTGGAGGCTGGTCTGATGGAGACTCTGCCAGGTGAGTTGCCAATGCTGGTGGCTCTGATAATGGAGCTGCCAGTAGCATTGCCATAGGCTCTGCAGCTGGCTATGTTAACAACTACATTGCCAGCTCTGTTAATAGCATTACTATTGACTCTACTACTGGGCCTGCATCTAGCTGTGTTTATAGCTGTGTCACCAGTTTTACCACCGACCCTGATAACTGTGCTCCAGGCAAGATTCTAGATTCTATTGGAACAGCCTGTGGAACAGTCTATGCAGTGGGTCCACCTGACTGTTCTGGTCCTAATGGACTCCCTGGTCTTTAAGGTCACCCTAGATCCTCTGAGGGAGAAGTACCTGGCTCCACATTCAGCTGTACAAATGATGCAAATTACGCACGCGCTGATCCCACAGCCACTAGGGGGCACCCGGGGTAGATCAGGGAGCAGAGAGGTGGGAGATACTGGCTACACAGGGGTTACATCGGAATTTATCAGGCAACATAGGAGTACTCCCAGGATCTACATGGGAGCTGCCAGCTGGCATTAGGGTAGATGCTCCTGCTCCAGGCGTTTCAAATCATACAGCATATTCATAAGGGAGCGTGAGCATGTCTTATGTATCTGGTAAAAAAAGGGCAGGGACACATTACCTGTCTTGGACTGAGGACCTCGGAACCTCTGCTCGAGGTCCCGAGGTCCTCAGCAGACCTCGAGCAGAGGACCTCGAGGACCTCGAGCAGAGGGCTATTTTGCCCTCCCTCCCTACAAGGCAAGACTTGAAGGCAATACAGAAGAGATCTGGAGGTCCTAGCCCAGTGTTTAGGAGGCTTGCTGGGGAAGGATACAACCAGGGGCGGACTGACAACTCATGGGGCCCCCGGGCAATAGGGGATCATGGGGCCCCTGTGTCCTTGCCCAAACTCAAAAAAGGATATGAAAAAGGTACCAGGGGCATCTCATGGGGCCCCCCACTGACCCCAGGCCCTCGGGCAGTGCCGAGTTTCCAAATGGTCAGTCCGCCCCTGGATATAACTGAAGTTCAGAAGCAGCTGGGCACTATGGAGACAAGAGTCTCTAAGTTGGAGGCCTCAGGCAATGATGTGAGCACCTGTTTAACTGCATTAGAAGCCTGTCAGTCCACAGTTCTACAACACCTCGCTACACTCTTCCTAACGGCGGAAGACATGAAGAACTGTAGTCACAGAAACATTGTCCATTTCATCCCTGAAACCTTTACAGGAGCAGCGATTAGATCTATGGTACAATCTAGGAAATGCCAAGACCCTGGCCCCTGTGATGTCCTCTGTTGAATATTTTTTTTAATATCAAGGAAGATGTGTAGAGCTTGGCAGATGGGCTGGATCGAGTTTGACAAGGCCCAAATACAGGTCCTACCTGATTTATCAAGAAACACCTGGCGGATGAGAGGCCTTATGAGTCCTCCTCTACAGCACATTAAAATAACAGGGGCATCATACAAGTGGGGTTACCCATTTCACCTGTTGGTTAAGAAAACAACCAGTCCTTTCTCTCCACAAGCTACTATTGGACCTCTTTGTTTTTTTTTTGGGCACTGAACCTAGAGATGTGTCAGACTGTTTAGATTTCTCTTTCCTTTACCCCCTTTTTTTTCTTTCATCTTTTCCCCCACTAATTGTTAAATAAATGAGTTTTGCAGGTTAATATATACAGGTACATCTCAATAAATTAGAATAAAAAAGTTAATTTATTTCAGTAATTCAATTCAAAAAGTGAAGCTCATATATTTTATAGATTCATTACACAGAGAGTGATATATTTCAAGCATTTCCTTTATTTAATTTTGATGATTACAGCTAGTGAAAACCCACAATTCAGTAACTCAGAAAATTAGAATATTACATAAGACCAATAAAAAAAAAAGGATTTTTAATACAGAAGTGTTGGCTTACTGAAAAGTATGTCCATGTACAGTAAAGTATGCACTTAATATTTGCTTGAGGCTCCTTTTGAATTAATTACTGCATCAATGTGGCGTAGCATTGAGGCGATCAGCCTGTGACAATGCTGAGGTGTTATGGATGCCCAGGTTGCTTTGATAGTGACCTTCAGCTCATCTGCATTGTTGGGTCTGGTGTCTCTCATCTTCCTCTTGACAATACCCCACAGATTCTCTATGAGGTTTAGGTCAGGAGAGTTTGCTGGCCCGTCAAGCACAGTGATACCATGATCATTAAGTGAAGAAGAAAAGAAGCGCCTCTAAGTGCAGTATAGCCCACTTTTAATAAGTAACAAATGTAGAACCACTCACATTGTATCGTAATAAAACAGGCTCATAAGGTGCAGGCTCATAGAGATAGAATAACGGCTGTATCCAGGCAGGATAAAAAGCTGTCCGGCATGTGGAGTCTTCTAAAAATGGCGTCTGGAATGCACGTTGAGGTGTGACATCGGCGTCAGCATGATGACGTACAAGGACCAGCATG